ACATCCGGCCGGGGCGCGCCGCCGCCGCCACTGCCGCCTGGGATCGTTCGGCCAGGGGTCCGAGCCGCTCGCACCATGGACACCAGCGACCTCTTCGCCAGCTGCAGAAAAGGGGATGTGGGCCGAGTGCGGTGAGGACCCCGCAGCCCCCGGGGAGGGGGCGGGGTGGGAGGGGCGCCCTCGGGGCGCCGTCGGCCCCGGAGCATGCGGTGGACCGGCTCCGGACAGGCGCACGCCTCTGCGCCGCCGCAGCCCTGGCACCGGACCCACCACAGACCGTCCCCCGAGAGCGCCTGGGCGCCCAAGCAGGGGACCGAGGCAGCTTTCCCAGCCGGGGTGCGCCAGGATGGAGTGCTGGGGGTGTTTTACTCCCTGGGGTCCCGGAGGGCTTCTCAGAGGAGAGGACTGCTACGCGGAGCCGCGGAGAAGTGGGCGGAGAGGAAGGTTGCCCTCGGAGCGCTCAGGACCGGGAGGTCAGACCCCGGGGCGGGCCTGGGACTCCAAACGTGGCTCATCGCACTGATGCGCACCGGGCCTGGCACGCTCGAAACACCTAAGACCCAGAAACAACCTCTGATCCCCCGGGATTTGGAAACTCCTAAATGCAGTTAAAGCAAATCTGGCGCTGAAATCGCCATAGAACAGGGAGTGACGGGGTGCCTATTTGGGAAGTGGGGCATCTCACTTCGTGGGCCCTTCCCTCCCTATTACCTGTATGTGACCCACTACTAGCTCCCTCGGGCTGGTCCCAGGCTTCCTGACTCCCACGGCGTCCCTCATCCCTCCCCAGCATCAAGTGTCACCTAGGAGTTAGCTGATAACCCCAGAAGCTGAGGGCAGCTCAAGAGCACTCCTGACCCAACTTGGACGTCTCTCCCAGGCTTCCTGCCCTCAGTGATGGTTTCATCACCATCCATGATGACCACCCCCCTTGCCTCCCACATGCCATCAGCTACCATGTCTCCTGACTTTTGCCTTCTAGAATCTGTTCACTTTTCTTCACGCTTTCACACCACCGGGACACCTGCAGCAGCCTTGTCCTTGGTCTCCCTCCCTCCAGTCTCCCCTATCCAATCTGCTGGCCTAAGCAGCCAGGGGGCTCTAGCAGAACAGATGCGCATCACCACCTCCTCTCTCCCAAATGCCTTCAGGCCAGAATCTTGTCCTCCTCAGCTCTGGGGTCCTGCTTCTGAGGCTCAGTGTTTGCCTTATGAGTTCCCATCTCTACACCTTGTCTACCTATGTTGGTCCCTTTGCTTCGAATGCCTTTCCTGCTTTGGTCTGTCATCTGTCTTCACCTGAGGGGAGACTTCCCTCAGCCAAAAGGGATGTTTTCTTTCTTTCCGCATTCTGTGGGTTTCCTCTCACAGACAGTGAACCTGTCCTGACTCAGGCTCTGACCTCCTCCCCGCCTAGGTACCTGCTGGAGCAACGGGACGTGGAGGTGAATGTGCGGGACAAGTGGGACAGCACCCCCTTGTGAGTGCCAGGTGGGTGGGTGGTCACGGCAGGTGCGGGGGGGTGCTTTCAGTCCTGGTAACTGCCTCCTGTACTCTTTGTTTCCCTCCCTCAGGTACTATGCCTGCCTGTGTGGGCACGAGGAGCTAGTACTCTATCTTCTGGCCAACGGTGAGAGAAGGGGCTGGGGCTCTGTGTGTGTGTGTGTGTGTGTGTGTGTGTGGTTTGCATTTGCAGATGCCCTCGAGTCCTGTCTTTGTGTCACCCCTACACACACCCAATTGGCAAGTCCTGGTGGTTCTGCTTTTAGAACCTATTTTCTGCCTTGTTCACTTCCCCGTCTCCACTGCCACCACCCAGCCCAATTACAGCATCTCTCCCTGGCCCCAAAGCCAGCCTCCTCTGGTCTCCTGACTGCCCCTTTTGCCCCACCTACAATCTGTTCTCCCTAATGCAGCCCAGTGGGTCTCCCAAGTCTGATAGGCTTAAAGTACTCCAAAAACTTCCCGTTGCATTTAGCATAAAACTAGAATGCCTTGCCAGTCTTTGTGCTTCTAAGTGACCTGCTCTTCCCCCTCTGGCCTCACCTCCTTTGGCTCCTCCATGTGCTCACTCTTCAGCCACACTGGCCTCTCCGGTGCTCGGGCACTTGGGCACTCCCAAGTGTTCTTCTACCTCAGGACCTTTGCACTTGATCTTCTTTCTATTTAGATTGCTCTTTCTCAGATCTTTGTATGGCCGACTTCCTCATTCCATTCAGGTCTCTGCATGTTGTCACAGACACAGTGACCTTCCGTGGCCTCTACGTGGCAGTCACAACCACTGTTACCATTTGTCTTGCTTTCTTTTGCTTCATAGCACCTGACATTTATTAACCTGTTTATTGGCCACTGCCCCACTAGAGAATCAGTTTAGTCAGGACAGGGATTTGTCTGTTTATGACTGTGTCTCCAGGGCATAGAACAGGGCAGTCTCTGAGCCTGCTTTGTTTGTAGTCTGTGGTACCCAGATGTGCCTGTGTGCCTAGGCCCTGGCAGATAAGATGCTAGTGTCATAGTGGGCCCAGGGTAATTTGGAAGGGGCTCCAAATTCCAGGGCTGGGCCCTACATGCGGGAAGGTTGCAGGGGGAGAGATGAGGATTTCCCCCAGACCCTCTCCCAGCCGCAGTGTGCATGTTCCTGACCCTGCTGACTGGGGAGCCCTGCTGCCCCCAGGAGCCCGCTGTGAGGCCAACACCTTTGATGGGGAACGCTGCCTCTATGGGGCACTTAGCGACCCTATCCGCCGGGCCCTGCGCGATTACAAGCAGGTGACAGCCTCCTGCAGGAGGCGGGACTACTACGACGACTTCCTGCAGCGGTGAGATGGGGTGCAGGGCTGGGTGTGTGTGGAGGGGGGGAGGTGATGTGGAGCTGAGGGATCTCTGGCAGGGTGGGGTGGGAGCCGCTGTGGTAAGACTGGGGGGAGGTGCATGCTGAACACCCCCTCCGCCTACCCCTCCCCAGGCTTCTGGAGCAGGGCATCCATAGTGACGTGGTTTTTGTGGTGCATGGGAAGCCCTTCCGGGCACATCGCTGCATCCTGGGCGTGCGCAGTGCCTACTTTGCCAACATGCTGGACACCAAATGGAAGGGCAAGAACGTCGTGGTCCTGAGGCACCCACTGGTGCGTCCCTCCCAGGGGCAGAGGGACAGCAGGGGCTTGTGCTGGGTGGCCGCCTCTGACCTCCCCGCCTGGCTATCTCTGCTTGCAGATCAACCCCGTGGCCTTTGGGGCCCTGCTGCAGTACCTGTACACAGGTAAATCTCTGGGCCCAGGGTGGGCAGGCAGGGAGGGCGTTTCTGTCCAGCAGCAGGCCCAGCTGTGGCCTTGGGCCCTCCTTTTACCTCCTGGTACTTATCCCCTGCAGTGTGGGCCGGTTCCAACTCCTTCCTGGGTGGGCTGGGAGACAATGAGCTGGTATGTCTGCTCAGGAAGAACTTGTCCCATCTGCAAACTGAGCCCTCTCCTGTCCTGGGGCCTGTAGAACTCAGGCAGTGGCTCCTGATGGGAAAACCAAGGCAGCAAGTAGACCTAGGAGTCCCAGTGCTAGGGACAGCAGAGGGCTCCTCTCCGGCCCTGAGCCTCCCATGCCGCACCCAGGCCGCCTGGACGTCGGTGTGGAACATGTTAGCGACTGCGAGCGGCTGGCCAAGCAGTGCCAGCTGTGGGACCTGCTCAGTGACCTCGAGGCCAAGTGCGAGAAGGTGTCCGAGTTTGGTGCGTCCAGACTTAGGGTCCGGGGCATCGGGCGGGAACTGGCAGGGCCCACTTGGCTCCCTGAAGCTGTACTCTCCCCTCCACAGTGGCATCCAAGCCAGGCACGTGCGTGAAGGTGCTGACTATTGAGCCCCCCACAGCAGACCCCCGGCTTCGGGAGGACATGGCCCTGCTGGCCGACTGCGCCCTGCCCCCTGAGCTCCGTGTAAGCACATGGCGTTCTGGGATGGAGCCCAGTGTGGACATAGCTGTGGTAGACAAGTCCCACTCTTGGGTTCAACCCTTGTGTGACCTGGAGCCAGTTACTTCCCTTTTCTTTTCTTTCTTTTAAGATTTTATTTATTTGAGAGAGAGCGTAAGCACAGGAGCAGTGGGAGGGACAGAGGGAGAGGAAAAAGCAGGTTCCCCTGCTGAGCAGGGAGCCCCATGTGGGGCTCGATCCCAGGACCTGAGACCATGACCCAAGCCGCAGGCAGATGCCTAACCAACTGAGCCACCCAGGCGCCTCGGTCATTTCCCTTTTCTTTCTTTTTTTTTTTTTTTTAAAGATTTTATTTATTTTTGATAGAGAGAGAGTGTACAAACAGGGGAAGCAGCAGGCAGAGGGAGAGGAAGAAGCAGGCTTCCCGCGGAGCAGGGAGCCCGATGCGGGGCTCGATCCCAGGACCCTGGGATCATGACCTGAGCCGAAGGCAGACGCTTAACGACTGAGCCACCCAGGCGCCTCTCACTTCCCTTTTCTGAGCCCACTTTACTTTTGTTGTTTGTGTTGTACTCAGATCTTCAAATGGGGCAGCAGTCCACCCTTTCGAGCTAGAACCGGCTTTAGACTGGGGCTGGCCACTCTCCCTTGTCCCACTTGCTCTGAGGGTATCTTTTTTCCTGTCCCCCAGGGTGATCTCGGGGAGCTGCCCTTCCCTTGCCCTGATGGCTTCAACAGCTGTCCTGATGTCTGCTTTCGGGTGGAAGGTTGCAGCTTTCTCTGCCACAAGGTGCCGTCCCTTCCCCCCCACGCCACCACCCCCTTGCCTTAAGTCCCTGGCCAGCTGTCTGGGCCCGGGCCCTGGCCCTCGCCCTTCCTGAGCCCAGCCTCCCCCAGGCCTTCTTCTGCGGCCGCAGCGACTACTTCCAGGCCCTGCTGAACGACCACTTCAGAGAAAACGAGCTGGAGGCCTCAGGCGGCCTCCCGGCCATCACCCTCCATGGCATCTCGCCTGACATCTTCACGCACGTGCTCTACTACATCTATAGCGACCACACAGAGGTGCGGGGCTCAGGCAGGCCATGTGCACTGGGCTGGGGGGCATGACCGTCGGGACAGGGCCACAGCCCGGGTCTTCACGGGGTTTAAAGGGAGGACCTAGGTCCTGCTTGGCTCCATGGGGCTGGTTTTCTAGGAAGCTGGAGAGGAAGTGTGGGACACATTTGGATTTGTCTTTCAGGCAGAGGGGACCTCAGTCGGTTCCAGAGCAGGGATGAATGGCAGGAGCCACATCATGAGCACATGCCACCTGGGGTCCCCGAGTTCTCCAGTTGGAGGGTGGGTAGGGAGAGTAACCCTGAATTACCACAACAGTGGGGAGCCCTGAGCTTCCTACCTCTGGATAGCAGCCCATGCCCAGGGTCCTGGATTTCTGTCTCCTGTTCTCTTGTTGCCTCCCTGGGTCTTCAGCTGCCCCAAAGCATCCCTAACGTGTGGGTGACGGGGCAGCTGGGGCTAGTGCCGAAGGCGTGTGTGTGTGTGTGTGTGTGTGTGTAAAAGGCCACTGTGTGTGTGTGTGTGTGTGTGTGTAAAAGGCTACTGTGGTAAAGCAGAGAAAAGTTTGTTTCTCCTTCATGTCTGAGGTATGTGCACCAGGGCAGATGGCTTACTGGGACCCAGGCTGTCCCCTCCATCTTGTCACTGTGACATGGCCTAGGGCAGGGGTCTGCAGACCTTCTCTGAGGACTAGGCATAAGTGTCGTGTGCCCGAGCATCTTTGTCCCGGCCGTCCAGCGCTGCCGTCATGCAGAAGCACCATAGCCGGGGTAGAAGTGAGCGGCTGTAGGTCTGTTCCACTCGCGCTTCCTGACGAGATACAGAGCGGCCCGGACCTGGTCCACAGCACCTGAGGTGGTATTCTCCTTTGCACCTGGAGATCGGGGTACAGGCCGACTCACGCGTTAGGAGGCTGAGGAAGACGAGGCAAGCAGTTTCCTTTGTCCTAGGCCAGGTGGAGGCCACACACACCAGTTCTCCTGTGGCTCTGGAGAGAACTCACTTAGTGGCTGTACTTGTCAGCAACGCAGGCTGGGACATGTGGCCTCTGGTCAGGGAGAAGGCACAGGGGACAAGCTGGGCTGTGATGTCAGCCCTGTGCTCGGCTCATGTAGCGCCCCCATTCACATCTTCAGTATCTGACAGCCTTTTGAGACAGGCATGGTTGCACCTCCAAGAGAGGAGGAAACAGGCACACAGAGGTGAAGTGACTTGCCTAGGGTCCCAACAGAATTTCAGAACACGGGTCTGTGTGATTCACAGCTCAGCTTCTTTCCCCTGCTAAGGCCCTGCCTGCACCAGGCCTGCAAGCCTGCCTGAGGCCCGGGAACCCCAGTCTCCTCCAGCCTCTCTGGTCCCACAATGCCTGCAGCAATCTGGGTCCCCCCGAGGCCTGGGTGGGAGCTCCTGCCCTGCCTGCAGCCTCCACCCAGCCTTGCGGCCGGGGCCCTGAGTGGCCTTGGTGACCTCGGGGCACACCCTCCCTCACCCCTTCTTTCACTGCAGCTGCCCCCCGAGGCGGCCTATGATGTCCTGAGCGTGGCCGACATGTACCTGTTGCCGGGCCTGAAGCGGCTGTGTGGCCGCAGCCTGGCCCAGCTGCTGGACGAGGACAGCGTGGTGGGCGTGTGGCGCGTGGCCAAGCTCTTCCGCTTGGCACGCCTCGAGGACCAGTGCACTGAGTACATGGCCAAGGTCATCGAGAAGGTGGGCCCACGGGAGCCGGGGTGGGCGGGGCAGGCTGAGGGCGGGCGGCAGGCGTGCTCTGAGCTGGCCTGTCCGCAGCTGGTGGAGCGGGAGGACTTCGTGGAGGCCGTGCGGGAGGAGGCGGCGGCCGTGGCTGCCCGACAGGAGACGGATTCCATCCCGCTGGTGGACGACATCCGCTTCCACGTGGCCAGCACGGTGCAGACCTACAGCGCCATCGAGGAGGCACAGCAGCGGCTGCGGGCCCTGGAGGACCTGCTGGTGTCCATCGGCCTGGACTGCTGACCGTCAGCTTGTGGCACGTGTGGGCCCTGCGTGTGTGTGCGCGTGTGCGCATGTACGGCTCGTCTTTCTGTTCTGGCTCCGGTGAGGGCATCGTGGTGGCCTGAGGGGCTCCGTGGGGTTCGCCTCCCCCTCCGTGCCTGGGGGCCCTGAGGGGGGGTCAGGATGAGCCCCCTCCCCCAACACAAGCCAGCCCCCAAGGCCCTGGGGCTGGGCACCGCTCAGGGAAACCTGGGGTGGGGGGTCTCTTTGGGCCTCCCTCCGCCGGGCCCCTCCACACCCCCGGGCCCCTCCACACCCCCACTCTCCTGGCCCTGGCTTGTCTGCTTCCAAGCCAAGCCAGCGAGCAAGCTTCTCTGAGGAGCAGAGTTGGCCCACAGGGAGCAGAAAAGTCTGTGTGTGGCAATAAAGCTTCATTCGCTGTGGGAGCCTGAGCCTGTGTCTGGGGTGGGCACAGGAGCAGGAGTTGGGGAGGGCCAGGGAGGAAGCTCTGGATTTGGAGCCCCTCATCCAAGCTGGGAAGGCCTCGGTGCCCAACAGGGGCTTCTTGGGGACTGGCGGGGTGTGTCTGTGGGTCTGAGTAGGCAGGCCGTCTCTGCAGGGGCCCTGAGATTCCCCAGCTGGGCCCAGCCTTTCCAGTGGTGGGACTCCCCTCAGGCCCAGCTTTTGCCTTGGGCTCCTCTTGGTGAAGTCCGACCCCCCCACCCCTGCCCTCAGTGGTCCTGGGGGAGGTTTAGTGGGAGGGCTGACTGAGCGACCACAGAGGCTGCTTCCCCCTCAGACAGGCAAGGACCGGCTTCCGGCTTCTGAGCCCTGCAGTCCCAGGAGGAGGGCCGGGGAGGCGGGGTGGAGCTGGAAGGGGTAGGAGGAGGCCCAGGGACCCCAGCTAGCCCCAGCCTGGCTCCCTCCACTCCCCAGCCCACTGGCCGCTGGCTGTGGGGACTAACCTCTATCTGCCCTCAGCCCAGGGCCAGCCTCCTTCTTGGGGCGGCCTCCTGGCCCCTGCGACAGGGGCCATGACATCAGGGATGTCAGAGGCGGCTTTCTCAGGATACCCTGTAGGCTGCCCCCCACCACAGTCCTTTGGGTCCTGAGACCCAGGCAGCAAGCACCCTGAGGCCTGCCCCCTTGTGCCCTGGGAACAGCAGTGGGTGTCCTGGCCCTCCCTGCAGTTATTGTTCTGTCCTTTGTGCCTTTTTACTCTTGTTTTGTCAGTTCCAGAACTTCTGGGATCTTTTCCTTAAGCCCCTCCATGCTTTTCATCCATATTGGTCTGGCATGTTGCTCACATGGGGTCAGCTGTAAGATCGGAGGGGTCAGTTGAACAAGGTACCCAGTAGGCAAGAGGGTGATCACCGTGGGGGAGGGGAAGTTGCCAAGTGGACAGCGGGGCCTGCTCGGTGGAAGGCAGGGCTTGGACATGGGCCTGGGAGCCTGAAGAGGCCCGAGATGAGACTGGAGGAGGTCAGCATGGCCAGAGCCCAGGCCCCCATTGGGGCCAGAGTTCCCACCCTGGCTCTACTTCTTACTGCCTGGTCACAGCTCCATGCCTCAGTTTGCCCAGCTGCCTCCCTCGCTGGGGGCATTAAAAGTGAGTTCCTGCTACTTGTGGAGGGGACCACACCGGCGCAGGGGGTGAGCTTGTTGTGTATTTGTGAAATGCTGGGCTCCACCCAAGGTGTGGAGGGAGGGACAAGGAGGGTGCAGCAGGGGCTGACTTCAGTTTTGCAAGGTCATTCCGCTTGCTCTGGGTACCCAGGCAGGAAGGGTGGAGCCCAGGCTGGTGGCCTAAGAGCCACAGGTCCCACCTTAGACCGCACAC